TGTGTGTGCATGTGTGTGTGTGTGTGTGTGTGTGTGTGTGGTATGTTCAGTGAGGTGGAAGGATGTCAGGATCTATGGCAAGTACCTCCACCTCACTGTTCTGGTGTGGAAGCTGGTGATTTATTTGTTAATTCATGATTTTATTTTCCTTTTATTTTATAATAGCATGTCTTTAAAAAAGATCTGAACATGATTTCATTTTTTAAAATTACCACTTTTTTTTAAAAAAAAATCCTGAATATAATTTTTATTTTTGGTTTACTTCATGAGGAAACGTCTCTCTTTAAAAAGATCACTTGCGATGTCACTTTTATTAAAATGATGAGGTGGAATACTTATTGTTTTAGGATAGGATATAAAAAAAAATGCAGCCTATTTTCTCAAAAAAAAAAAAAAAAGATTTTTTTTTTTTTTAAATATCTGGACAATAACATCTCATGCATAGATGCCTAAATTAAAAAAAAAAGTTTGAAACAAAGGTGTAAAATATAAGAAAAGTGAGAAATAAATGGTTAAACTTACGTACTACACACGGGACCACAGGTGTCACTGGACACTGGATGCGACTAACTTAGCAAACACATGCTGCTGTATGTAGGTTAAGTTAATTAAATAATGCTGTTACATGTAAAGGGTATAAAAAGCTTTAAAAATACGATTAGATAATAGTTCTGCTTGTTTTCATGCAAATTAATCTGCTTTAATTTTTTTCTCGAATTAAGAAGCGCAGCTTTGAGAGATTTGTCCCCAGCTTCTTTGAAGATGGATCGATGGATATTTATAAATGTGCACTAAAAATATCCAGCCCCAATCTATAAAGAAAAGAAAGTTTAACAATAACATTTCGATATTGGTGTTTTGTTTTTAGAGGTTAGACATCACATACTTAACCTGAGCCTTTTATTTTTTAACATTTACTAGGCCTAAATATATATTTTTAAATTTAATTCAGCTTTTTTCCATCATGCAAAACTGGATGCATGATGTTAAAGTTACAAGGGAGTGATGCAGGAGAAGGGGAGGAGGCTCTGTGGGAGTGAACGCTCCTCTTAGCCTCTGTTGAGTTGGGCACAGAAAATGGCAGTGATCAATAATCAGTAATAAATACTACTAAATAATCACCAGGGTGGAATGTTTTATTTAAATACAAATTTAAACTTTTCTTTAAACTTTGGGATCTGCAAATCCACCTCCAGATTGCACTCAGGTGACAGAGTCCAGGTGGAGACCTCTGCAGAGAAACTACAACCTGCCTCTGAACAACACGGTTTAATCTCCTCACAGTGCGCAGGAGACAAACTGTGACAGCTTAAAGACAGTTTTAAGAGTTTGTGCACAATATGGCACTCAGCCTGGCATAAAGAAAATAGTTTAAATGCAAAATACAAGTATGAGACACGTGTTCCTCTGAACAACCTTTACTTCAAAGGTCATATTCTGTTTTCATCTGTAGACCCACACAGTTATTGGAAATGAATCAGTCAGCTATAAACTCTATATGATGACCTCATCAAGAGACAAAGGGTTCATTCAAATATTGTCACATCACCCAAGTATTGACGTGCACCTACCACGCACGCTCAACGCGGCCCCATTACCGCAAATTAATAGATTGCTATGGCATTATTCCTCTGGCACGTATCGATCCGCAAACGTCTGCATCACATTGCGTCAAGTAAGAGCAACGTTCACGCGCCGCTTCGGCTCGGCGTGTGACCTTGATTTGCGCGCATAAATTGAAAAAATTACCACTCGATAATTTCCATTTGTGCGACATCTTTATGTAAAGGAGTAAAAGGGGAGCGGGGCCGAAATCAGATAAAGTACATTTGCAGGAACGGGGGCAAACGGACGTGACCGGGGACTGCGCTCAGTGTATTACATTAAAATGGAGAGCTGAATGAGGTAATTTTAAGCACTATCATAGGTTTTAGTGCCAGTTTGGAAACACACAAGTGGCCCGACCACCTTGCTTAACGGTAGCCTCCTGTCTGCTCACATGTGTGTTGGACTGGTAAAGTTTGGATTTAGAAAGATTGAAACATTTATTTGGAGAACCAGAAACCTAGAGAAGCATGGAGGGAGGTTCTCTGGGGTCCTTGAGGGGTTGGCAGAGGGTTCCCTAACAAGACAGAGATCATGTGAAGCAATGAGAGAGTTACATGGGCATGATTTTATGATATCCAGGGTGTGTGCAGCTTGAAGAGGACAATCACGATTATGGTATTTTATAACTGGAACATGAAAAAAGTAGAGAAATACTGATGGACATTTGTGTTAGAGGTTCCAAAAATGCGCACTGGGAAAGATCATATTTTAAATGAAGATATTGAGAAAGTTTTTTTTTTTTTTATCATTTTATTTTAAATTAAAGTCTTCAACCATTTGGCACAACTCAGATCCAACCACCAACATGCTCCAAAGATGGGCCAAAAGTGAACGTGCGCGTAAAGTTCACCTCAAAAGCTCCTCTCACGTCGTGCGTCAACAAACGTGTCCTGCTACAGATATAACCCACTGGTGTATTTCCACAACCAGAGGCCATACAGAAGTGATCTGACGCGTCAGAGCTGAACAACTCTTTTTGACACTTCTCGAAAAAGGCAAGTCTTGTTTTAAACCCATCCCATTTGCTTTGCTGATTGAATGCGAGCATCAGATTTTCATCAAAGTTCTATTAAGTGAAACATAGGTTGCGGGGCACCGTCTGATTGGAACAGTTTAAATTTTAATTGTGTTTTTAATTTGACATATAGTTGCTGTGAAGAATGACACTGAAACGCCGAGGGGCGGTCGATTTTCTTAATTTCTCCCCGAGGAATTGATGAGTCTATCAGGGCAGTAGATTGGAAAGCCATTAAAACTCAATGGTTAGGTTGTTAATTGGAACTTGATGGATAGGAGCCCGTGGATAGGCTGTACTGATCCAATCTTCCTGACTTTGTGTTTTCCAATAAATTACCCAGTTCATTTCCACACTCAGATTACATAAATTGTACACCTCCAGGGCTCGGGCGCTCTGCTTGCGTTTACAACTCTCTCTCTCTTTCTCTGCACACACACACACCCTCTTTCTCTCCTCCACACACACACATACACAGATGTGCGCGCACGGACGCACACAAACGCCTCCTGAAAAAAGAGCAGGCCCCGCTTTCTTGAATGAAAATCGAAACGTAATCAACGTTTATACTTAGAAAATTTATTGATATCATTTTCTCTGGTAATTTCCTTATTCTAGAGTTGGACACGCCATATATCATAATACACACGTGTAAAGGGTCTTTGTTTAATATTTATCGAAGCTTGATTCCCAGATCAAAGCGCCTCATAACTTCATCTGTCTTTCTCAGACCTTTCTCTCCTGCTAAAGATCTTGTTCTGTTATTGCGGTAGGGCGGCCATACACCACCTATCATTGTGATAGAGCACGAACTTAGGCCCCGCTCCTCGCTGCACGCTGCTCGGGCCTCTCTGCACATCTCGGGTACAAACGCAGGAACATGCAGCAAGGACGCATGAACATTTCCATACTAATAATAACACACAGCTCGGGCCTGCAAACGCCAACTCTGACATAAAAACCAGCGTGTAATTCATTGTGTGCGTCACAATAGCCGCCTGTTATGTCCACTATCTCTGTGATGAACTAATCTCACTTTGCAAAAGTCGTCTGAAAGTGATGAAGGCGGCCCCACTGACAAAGGTCTTTGTTTGAAAAGAGCGGCATATAAAATAAACCCATTTAACTGTCATTGCAGATTTCACGCCTTATGTGTAACCACCATAAATCCAGCATCCGCCCCTGACTGCCCTCATATATTTGCCCCCCTTCAGTAAAGCCTCCCCTGCGTAAGCGTTTTGTTAAGATCGTTTAGCAGCTGCTGGCCCCGCTGCCAGTTGACGATATTTACGCGCGGATCCAGATGCTTCTGTCTGGCTGCTATGATGATGATGATGACGGCAGAATCTGCTGTCAACATCATCATCATCAGCAGCAGTGTTCATAGTCGTCGTCGTCTTCTCCTCTGTTTCCAGCCGGTCTTTAACACCGAATGCCGGTTGTGTGGCTACCGGGAAGGGCGCTGACATGATGATTAAAGCTGACCATTTGTAATGTGTCTGGGGCTCCCTTACAAAGCAGTAAAAGAGGGATAATGTGCCCGAACCGCCAGCTCAAGCCCCGCAGCTGTCCCGCAGCCAGACACACACACACACACACACACACACACACACAGATAGAGCATGGGTGGTGGAGTTGGGAGGAGGGCGGTGGTGGTGGTGGTGGTGGTGGGAAGCGCGCCCCCCTCCTCTCCCTCACACACCACACACACACAAACGCGTGCGCGCATGCAGCCCCCACCGCCTCCAATCAATTAGTCAATCAATTAGCCGGCCTCCACTCCACGCGCGGTCATCACGAGGCAGATTAGCTCAGTAATGATCAAATTAATTCTTAATCGCAGATAATGGACGCGGAATGAGTTTATTATTTTCAGGAAAAATGAGTTGGGCCTCTGCATTAGTTCCGAGGCTGCGTTACCGTCACCCCGGCTCATTTAACATACATGGGATCAAAGAAAGAAAATGTTTTACATGAGGTCATATTTAAGCCACGTGGAGGAAAGATGTTTAAACTTATATTTTTTTTTTAAAGATATGACATGTGGAAATTTAATGTATTTTTTAAATTCATAACCAGATTTGTATTTTCTCAATATCCTGTACTTTTTTTAAAATAATAAGAATAATAATAATTAAAAAACTAAAGGTTGCAGCTGATAAGGAGTAAACATCACAAGTGTTTTAAGTGCACCTGAGTGCAGAACTGAGCACTGCACGTCTTCCCTCGCTCTCCTCATCCCGTCTCCAAACCTTGACAGGAGTTTGAAATTTCCGGGCTTATGTTGGAGGCTGCGATTGGCCCAGGAGGAGCTTACCTACATGCAAATGAAGCAACGCAACCTTGCTGCCTCTGATCCAGAGCGTGAGGAGGAGGACCAGGAATACACTCATGTTCCCCGAGCTCTAGAAAAAACACCTTCAACTCCTTCAATGTTAAAACTCCACAATTAAACCGACTACAGGGGGGAAGGAAAGACAGAAAGAAAGAAAGAAGAAGACAAAAGCCGCTTTCGTAATTTTTACGCACCAATCGTGTAGAAACCAATAACGGAATACAAGGGGACAGTCAGATTCAGGCAATACTTCAATACTGTTATGAAGCGAGAATGAGTAGCGCAGAAGACAGCGGGAGCAAGTGCTCGTCGGGCCCGATTTCCAGCTTTACCATCCAGTCGATTCTAGGCACGCCGTCTGATGCGCCGCGCTCCGGGAACAAGGAGCTCTCCAAGGGGCCGCCGCCGCCGCCGCCGCGGAGGCGCTCGCTGTCGGTGTCCTCCGAGGAAGAGTGCAGCGGTGGGGAGGACTCTGCAGACTGCTTCTGCTCCGACACGGGTCACAGCGAGCCATGCACCCAGCACCAAGCCCATAACTTCTGTTTAGGTGAGGAATATTTATCATTATTATTAGAATTATTACAGAAAAGGAAGCAAAATATTTTAAATAATCATGTCACACATATTTAGTTTTTATATTATTTATTTACGATTAAAACAGGCCTGTTTAGTTCCTCTTTTTATTTATTTATTTAGAAATAAGCAGGCCTCCTGTTTTCTGTTTTTGTTTGCACTTGAGCTCACATTTCATTAGCTCGTGTTTGTGACAGTCACACTCACACGCAGCTCATCCACTTCCACTTGTTTGTTGTGTGTTGACTATCACGCAGCAGCGGGAAGAGTGGAAGGTCGAATAATTAGCCCTCTGTCTTTCCTCTCATTTCAAATTTAATTGAGCCCGCTAATTGACGAAACATGTTTCTAAAATGGCTGCACTACACGTCGTCAATTGAGCGTTAAATAGAGCGGGATTTTATTAATAGCCGACTGTGCACGGTGCGTACTCAGGCTGAATTGTTTATTTAAAAAGTCACCGGCTTTCAGCAGTCGATTTAGGAAGTCAGAGTTCACACTTGACGAACTCTCAAACTGAGTATGTAGAGGAAAAAAATGTGAAATTATTTTTTCAGGACAAAAAAAAAAGCTTGCAACATGGAGTCGGTTGTGATATTCACCTCCTCCTCCTCCTTCTCTTTCTTCTCCTCCTGCCCGCGCTCAGGTCCCCCTAAAGGACTGCTGTCTGGGAGTGACGGGCTGCCGCGGCGGCCGCACCTGCCACAGCCTCTGCTGCAGGATTACAAGGAGGAGCAGGAGAGACCGTGCCATCAAATGTCACCCCTGTCGGAGGAGAGACAGACGGACGGTGCGGACAAGCAGGGCAACTCAGCCAAGAAGAAGACGCGCACGGTTTTCTCCCGGAGTCAGGTGTACCAGCTGGAGTCCACCTTCGACATGAAGCGGTACCTGAGCAGCTCGGAGCGGGCCTGCTTAGCCTCCAGCCTGCAGCTGACGGAGACTCAGGTCAAGACGTGGTTTCAGAACAGGAGGAACAAATGGAAACGGCAGCTATCAGCTGAACTGGAGGCGGCCAACATGGCCCACGCCTCCGCACAGACACTAGTGGGGATGCCGCTGGTTTTCAGAGATAACTCCTTACTGCGTGTTCCGGTTCCCCGCTCTATCGCCTTTCCGACGCCCCTGTATTACCCGGGGAGCAACCTGCCAGGGTTACCTTTATACAACCTGTATAACAAGATTGAGTACTGACTCTGCTGTATGTTCACCACTGCAGTCCACGTAAAAAAAACAAAACACGCATTACAAAACATTCTTATAAGTGTCTCCACATAACCCTGTATATTAATTGTATCACTTTATTTGTTGAGGAAATTCTTATTATGCAGAAACTGTACATCTAACGAGAAAGCAATCCAGCTTCCCTTAAAATGTATAAAATACACCATGTGTATAATTAATTACAATAATTTTTGTACTTTTATTTTCCTCCTTTCACTGATAAAATAATGGGAGTTTAACAGTCATATCAGTTTCAAGAAGAAAAAAGGATCCCACCATTTAAAAAAGAAGCTTTTACACTGTTTTTATTCATAATTGGTTCGTCACAGATTTTGCAAAGCATCAGTCATTTTTATTTCACCTGACAGGAAATTATTCCATTTAAGGAAGAAAAAAAATATCATTGTTTCTATTGTAATTTAGACCTTCAATAAATAACCTTCTCATTCAATAAATTTTCTATTTCAGTGAAAAATTGGGGCTTGTTTGGTTTTTATTTTTATGGACCGCTTTTTGTGCACTTACATTTGTAAACTTCACTGTTGACACAGTTAGATTTTCACACGCTGGAGGCAAACAGTGTAAGCCACTGTAAACAAGGCTAATGTCAAATTCTACTTAGCTGTGTTGACACTTCTTGTCCCGTGAAGAGCATGCAAGCAGTAAACAAGCTCTGCTGTCATAAGTGTGATCGTTTCTTTATGATAAAAGCTTGGGAAGTAATCAGAAATTGAAGGGGAATTTTTGATGTAAAGCTGCTGGAGAAATGTTTTAGAGCGAATTTAAGCTGAGAGCACCTGTGCCTTAACTGTGACTAAAGTGAGGAGGAAAACCTGGAACATACATGACATCACTGTTGCTTTTGGCCTACATAAACCTCCTATTATTACATGAAATATTAAGTTGAGAGTGTTTGACAGGTGCATTTTAATTGTATCTGTACAGGGATGTAGTGTGAGATGTGTCCCTCTGTAAGGCTCACATTACATATTTGTTTAATTCCTACAAATCAGCCTACAAGCAGAATAAAATGTCAAGCTGTGCCTGAAACTGCAGATGCTTTTATGACAGTATTTTCAGATTAATTTCAAATGTATAAACACTCTGCTGTAAATCAAGAGGTGCATGACCTGAGCAAGCTGCCTTGTAAAAGTAGATGTAACTAAGAAGTAGATAAAGCAGATTGCAGGGTGGAGAAGAGACACATGCCATCCCGAGCCAATCGTGCCTCTGGGCCGGATCTTCTCTCATTTAAAGTCTGCCTCCCGTGGCTCACTCTAGCATCAGGCCTCCAAAAGGGGAAACATAATAAAGAGGCATATTGTCAAAGTTCAAGACTCTTGGCGTCATTAATCGAAGCTCTTTTCTCCATCTGCGCGATGAATTACTGTATCAGTTACACTTTGAACGCCATGTACGGTGTGTCTTGTTAATTCAGAGGCTAGTTTAGGTTTTCGAGAGGTCCAGCTCACGTTGTCAGAGCTCAATTTACGATTTCATAACAATTCGATAGATGCAAAGCACGAGCCTGAAGAGAATCACTCACTCACACAAGCACACACACAAATGCCCATGGTTGATGAGGAGCGATAAAACCATGTCATTTGCCAGCTTTTCTTGGGTGTCACATCATGTACAAGGGACCCCCCCCCCCCACCACCACCACCACCACCAGCAGCAGCCAGCCAACCCCTTCTACCCATCCCACCAATCTCTCCCTGTGTGCTAATGGCTACATTACCTAGCAGAATCATGACTAGCCAGGCTCTGCTGCCCTGCAGATTATGCCTGACCCAATTTCTGCAACAGCCGCCCTGTGTTTCTGGGAAAATGGATAGCGTTAGACAACAGCAGTGATTTATGGGTAACTCCAGCACCAGCGGAGAGGTGAGGTGCAGGGGGATGAATTTGTGACAGATAGGAGAGGGAGAGAAAAGAGAGATAGAGAGAGGGATGGGGGACCGTAACGCTTATGAAAAGGAGCAATAGCTTTGGTTGAATGAAGCTGTTTATTAGTTTCCAAGTGGTCATTATGTCATCAGGTGTGACGGCAACGCGCCGCTCTTTTGGATGGATGTTTGCACCCCACTGACTTGTGGGAAATCTGCATGACCTGTCACCTGAGGTTGTTTGATTTACAAGAGACAGGCGAACAGAGAGGGGGAGATGTGCGGAGATGAGCAAAGGAGAGAATAAGTGAAAGAGAGGAATAGGTGGGGGTGGGGGGGTGGGGGGTTGGATGTAACTATGTATCACTGCAATGGCAGGTGTGAATTACAAATTTTAATAGCAGGGCAATGAAAATGATTTGAAGTGGTTTAAACTGCAAAGAGACAGCGACTGGCATGGTGATGAAGATTTGTTGAGATGATGTGTTGTGCCTTAGGATTCATCAAACCTGCCTGGTAAGGTGAAAAGCAAGTGTAATTCACTTCTGTGGTATAATTTATGATGGGAGTAATGGAAACTGTGGGCTACACACAGTGTGGAGAGGGAGAGGCAAAGACAGAGAGCACTGGGCAAATTGATTCTCGGGATAGTTTTCAGAGCATATTTACAGGATCATAATGAATTACACTAAAACCTCCGGATATCACCTCTTTTACATCTCCAGATAAAATGATGTAGATCAAAACTAACTTAATAAAGACACCGTTAAATTTAAACAGGCTGCAACAACATTTTTTTTTATTCCTAATGTTCTAATATTTGACTCTTCTTCTCTTCCCTTCATCATTTATTCGGACAAGGGGCTTTTCAACTACCTAACATATTTACAGCCATTTGATTTAAAGAGGGTATGTGTGGCTTCATATTAGAGCGGGAGGTTATGAAGTATAACGCCAAAAGCAGATGCAGAGCCCAGGGTCTGCCTCAAGACAAGAGTTTTAAAAGCGATCGCAATGCATTAAGCCAGACAACTCTCAAGACCTGTTTGCTCCCTAAATGAATTTGAGGGGAGCATAACAAGGTTTTTGAGGCAGGCCCTGTCATCCGCTGGCTTTAACCAGCTTCTGTATTTATGGGTTAATGGTTAAAAAGGAGAGCTTGGACCAGAAGTGATTTTTCATGATTCTGTTTTATATCAACTGGAAATGAAGGAGCTGAAGGGAAATTGTGTTTGTCCCCCCCCCTCCTCTCTCACCAGCCCCAACCCCTTAACAGAAAAGGCATATTCTACTGAACCAGGCCAAGCAGACATATGGATAAAGTATATTAAGTAAAATATGGCTTTGGGAATTATTTGGTTTGTGCAACAGGCGTAAAAACCCAAAATAGGTTTTAACTTTCAGTCTCAAAATCGATTTGCTTAAACTCGCAATACTGTAACATATTTTGCGATGTTTCTAACTCAAGGTCAAACACAAGCAGCTCTGTTATTTGAACTCCCCCAAACAACATTTAACCAAAAATCTGCATTAGGGCTTTAATGGCAAAATGCATTACACTTCATTGTTAAATTACCAACCATTTCTTGAACTGCCTGTTTTGAAGTGCCATTCGCTGTCCAATATGCATCAAACTATTACAGGCTACAGTACGCTGAGAGAACTCAGCTATTACTCCAGAGATAAGTCCATTAGCATTACCTTTGACACAATAATGGATGTGAGATACAATTCTCTGCTCTCCATTTTGTATTTGTAAGGATAATAGGGGGATTATCTTGAAGGCCTTATGCTACACACTCAAGAGTGAGACCACACTGAGGACAGAGAGCTCTGCAACAGTTGTTTTCACATCCTCCCCTCCCCTCCCTCAGCCCTTCCCTCTGCTCCAAGACCCTCTCAGAGAGAGGCAGGGAAGATAAAGCATGTCATTATTCTATTAAAGACCTACAATTTTTGTAATGGGACTTGCAGCGGTCGGCAGAAGTGCAGGCAGCTTCTTCAATATCCTGGACATTATTTGCTCGTTTAGTTAAATGATGTTTCTAATTCCCTCATAATTACTTGTAATGAGGCTGTCTCCCTCGTTTTGATGCGGCAACATCTTAATACAGCATGGCATTCTTTTTTAGGGATAATTACCTCTCATGAGGCCGGGCAGCAAGGCTGGGGTTTGTTGTGCGCTGCACACGTGGCAAATTGGCTTGTTTCCTGCCATCTTGTCTTCCTGCAAATTGGTAAATTAAGTTTCTCGGCTGGAGCATTAGAACTGTTAAGTTTGCTTTCTCGGCTCCTTCAAATTATTGGCTTCGCTGACAGAGAGACGGCTGTATATTCTGTGTTTTGTCTTATTAACTTTGTAGAGTTTTTTATTTAAAGATTATACAGTGAATGTTAGGGGAGCTGAATGTTGGAGCATTAGGGAAAAGTTGTTGGAGGAACAGTTTTGAAATTATTGTATTGGGACATGTTTTCTGGTTCGCAGAGCAACAAAAATTATACATGATTCATAAAATGAATCTTATCATTTTATATGTTTCATTTTAAAGACAAAAGCTTTAACAAAAAACTGTAGAACTGCGATCTAATGTCATTTAGGGATAAACCTCATAATTTAATGGAAAGAAGTGAATGCTGGAATTATTCTCTACACATTAGGTTTCATTTATTGTAGGCTATATCAATATTGCTATAAAAATACACCTATACTGCCAGTGTTAACAAAGGGAATGAACCAGCTCCATCCTTGTCATTAGGACAATAAATAAATGTATATTTAATACTTAAAGGTTCAAATTGGAAGATCTCAAAAAACAGAAATAATACGTCCTCATTCTGAGAATGGATTTTCTCTTCCTGTTTCCCCTCTACCAGCAGAGCTGTATGTGATGTCCCTCTGAAATGATCCAGCTGCCGTACTCCAACCGCAGCCGTCGCAGGGTTGACTGAGGGGTTTTTATTTCTAAGTGCTGATGTGTCGCAGACAGTTTGGCTCTACAAGGGCCTGTTATACGCCGATTAAAGAGAGGGAAGGAGTGCTCCCGCAGGGCGGCCTTGTACATTTACCCTAACCACAAAAAGGTCTAACGTTTACGCCCCGGTGCTGACATGACCTTCAAACAAGGTCCCTCTGCTGCCTGGGTGGATACTGGAACTGTCTGGAGGAGACCTGCAGTGAAACCAACAGACAGACAGGAAGAAATCATATCTTTTATATCAGGAATTACCTGTCTGCCATATCCTGTGAAGTTAGAAGATATGGCTTTTATTGGGAAATACAGGAAAGGATAGTTATTTTTCGCACTTATATGGCAAAATGTGATTGTGATTTTCCCAAAAGCTTTTGTCAGTTTCACTGAATGTTGGAACATGATATAAGAAGTATCTTTTCTCCATTAAAATCACCTACGCTGAACAAACTGACAAACACAAAGGGCCACTAAATAATTCAGATCCAAATCCAGTCATCAGTCAAGACAAACATATCACTGGCTGTTGTTTTTATTAGTGGGAGCACAGACGGATTCTCAAGTGATCCTCTTGTCTGTGCTGGGTCAGTGATCTGTTTGTTATGAGATTTGATATCGACTTCTTCTTAATATGGAGAGTTGGGATCTCTTTGTAAGGACCAAGTGGTCTCTTTCAGCTGCAGGGGTCTGCTGTATAGAGAGATGATCTGTCACTTCAGTCTAAGACTGACTGCTGACCACATAGCCTGCAGCTCAGCAGCGGGGAGCACAATGAAAGCAGCACACTATCACCTGACAGCTAATTAGGGATCACTCCCCTGGAAGGGAATACATTCTCTTTGAGGGAATGAGAGAAAGAAAGCACTAGGTCGCTGAGATTCCTGTGATGTGTCAGTCAAAGCCACAAGCCACCTGCGATTCCTAAAGACAATTCTCTGATATGTTTGGTTATCACTGTAGTGAATTGTTAATGTTGGTGGTAAAAGTCAAACGACCTGACTTTGGTTCAAATACAAAGTGTTTGGTTTTTCTCTCATGTCTCCCACTGGAGTGAACTAAAATAAGAACTTCATATCTCAACATTCATGCCATCTGTTTAAATATCGCAGTTCAGCAACACTGATTGTCCCCAGTTGTGTGTGCCAATGTGCCCACATGTGTGTGTGTGTGTACATATGTGCCCATCCAGCAGTGTGAGTCTATGGTTTATACAGGAGACCTGGGACTTCTTTGAAAACACATTTGTAACCATTAGTTGAGTGTAGGGTTTCATGTGCAGAGTGCATCCTCTGGACTGGTGTCAGAGTCTCTGCGAGGCTCTGCGGCAGGCTCTCTTGGAGGGACAGTGCGGAGAGGAAGAGGAGGCTGGAGGTGGTGGTGGTTGAGGAGGAGGGGGAGCA